TTCTTGATTTTCACTAATTCTCTAGTTAATATCAGGTTTTCAATGGTGGTCTAGCATCAAGTGACTAATGATTTCAATCTGTGAAATTTCTAAAATCTCCACAAAACCCATTCTGATAATAATCAACTGCTCACTAGTGACTGATTTTAAAAAATAGTACTGGAGTTCTAGTGAGAAGCCGTTACCAGTGGAGTTCAACCAGGTCTGTTGTGAGATATCAGCTCACTGAAGACAATGGTGTACGGTGGCGCGACTTCGTGGATTGGTTGAAGTTAGACATTAACGCCGTTGGATGCCGGCTCAGTGGTCTAGTGGTTAAGTGCTTGCGCGCGAAGCCAGTAGGTCCTGGGTTCGAGCCCCTCGTGGTGCGGGATCGTGGATGCGCACTGCTGAGGAGTCCCATACTAGGATGAAACGGCCGTCCAGTGCTTCCAGGTTTTTAATGGTGGTCTAGCTTCAACTGACTCATGATTTCACTCTGTGAAATATCAGTAACTACCATCAATTTTCATGAATGTTGAAAAAGCCATCAAATGAATACATAAAGCAACTTATTAAATATTAATCACATGAAATGACAAAGAATGAAAACCTTTCTTTCAAGACTGATAAACATTCACCTCCAAATTAGGACAGTACTGTTTTTATGTATAGTAATTTTTTTTAATTCTAAACGATATGGTAACTATTATCCTCTTTATAAGGTTATTCAATGTGTTTTGTCATGGAAATAATTCACAAATATTCTACTTCATAATCGATAAATCGAACAGGTTATTCATTATATGAAGATAGAAAACAAAATTTTTTCATTACTTCAAAGCATAACCTTAAATTCATTTGTCTCATTGAATTATATCATTACATGGCCAAATTTTATTCGGTCAATTAGTTGCTATACAAAAAAAAAATAGTTTTCACATATAATATGATCAGAGCAAATAGCATACATTCTGTACTAATATATTGTGTACGAGAATATAACCGGGAACAACGAAATGTATGTACATACAAAATTACAGAATCTCTTAGTAAAATCTGAAAACCATACAGTGAATATTTCATTTGCAAAATGTCAATAAATTGTCTCAGACTTCATTGTTTCATCGTTTCCATATCAATCATTCTTTGTTCTCGCTCTCTTCACATCGATCTTCTTACTTTCTACTGCTAAGAATTTCACATTCAATTGGTGATACATACTAATTATATCTGTCGACATCAGTAACACACATCACATTAATAGTAATAAATATATATCAATATTTTTAATTATTTGTATTAGTTACCCCGATTTAAATAAATAGATAAACTTATATTGGGCATAAAAATGACTGTAAATCCTGTATAAACTTAAATTTCTTTAACTAAATGATAAACCATTATTGCTGATATTAACTATTGATTTTTATTATGATACTAATCAGCATATGCCCACTAGTGACTACCCTCCTGGAGTTCTAGCGTGAAGCAGTGACCAATGAGGTTCAATTGGGTCAGTTGTGTGATAGTAACTCACTGAAGACAATGATGGGCGTGTCGCTCAATTTCGTGGATTAGTTGAAGTTAGACAATAGCACCATTGGATGCCTGACGGGTCAGTGGTCTAATGGTTAAGCGCTTGCGCGCGAGACTGATAGGTCATGGGTTCGAATCTTGCCCACAATACGACGATAAGGCCGTCCAATGCTTCCAGGTTTGTTAGGATAAACACAAAAGTATACAAAACTCAATTGTTTATAAGGAATTTGTACCGAACAATATATGTTTCTTTCATAAAATTAATTTTGACATTTTTATATCTCAATAGTTGAAACCATGAGTCAATTGAAGCTAGACCACCATGGAAAACCTGGAAGTACTGGATGGTCATCTCATCCTTTTGTGGGACTTTTCAGCAGTGTGCATCCACGAGATTCAAACCTAGGACCTATCAGTCTCTCATGTGAACGCTCAACCCCTAGACCACTGAGCTAGCCGGCATCCAATGGTGTTAATGTTTTTATATCTGTAGTGAATTAAATATTCCATGACATTATTTATTTATAAAACTCACCTACTCGTTTTATCTTAGTTTTGGTAGAATATTTGAAATTTTCTTTGAGTAATTTAACATCTATCCCCCACATTTTCATTTAATATAGGTCATCATTATACAGTCATCAATAATAAACCCGATAATATTTGAAACGAATGACCGTTCTACTTATTTTAATTCGGTTTTCATTTTGATATTAATTTTTCAAGTTATAAAAACTGATTACGTTAACAAATAAATAAATTTTAATTCATTCACCATTACACAGTAACTAAATACTTTTCATGCTTTATTGGAAATCAATACTGGTGAAATTATGGCTATGATTATGTTTATTTTATATCAGTTAACTATATATATATATATATTCGCATGCATGTGTTAGTATTTGTATTTATATCATAAAAAGTCAATAGTAAAAGGCTAAATTGATTTTTACAGAAATGTATCTGTAACTCTATTGAACACAAATATACACATAAATTATATAATTATCAATGATTCTAAACCACTTCATGATCAGTACGATAATTTATGGACGACCTTTCAACGACGTTAAAGTTACCTTGATAACGTCCATTTGATAACTAGGAGCAAATGAAGATTATAAACCAGAGTGGAGAATTAGAAATATGATTTATAGTGGACGGTTAAGGTTAGGAAATAGATTTAGGATTTTCATCACGAATTAATATAAACTAAAATGCCAAGACGTTATTTAGCCAAGTGGATGATTGAATTTCGCGCTAAAATCCAAGACCTGTTATCTTATATTTGATTGGTTCATCCATAAATTATAGTCACACCGATACTTCACTTAAGACTCAACAAATTTTCTAATAATATATCACTTTATTCCAAATAGGTTGACCCTATAAATTTACCTATTACATGAATTTCAAGTATCGTTATGATAGTAATCATTTATATTTTAAGTAATATTGATAATTTTCATGACGGACTGATCTTCGTAACCCCTTGGGAGTGCACATCCATGGATTCTACGGGAAATCAAGCTAGACATAAAAACCATTGAATTGCAACTCAGTGATCTAAACATCAAGCATTCACGATGGGACCTAAAGGTCATGAGTTAGATCCATGGTAGGGTCGCGGGTGAATCCCATGCTAGAATGAAACAGTACTTTATGATCATTAAGAACTGCCTAAAATCACTTGATCATGAAGATTACGAAAATTCAACGGTCTCTACAAACTCTACATACATCTTATGAATAACCATCAATGTCAACTGTGAATGTCATATATCAAATAAGGGTTCACTAAGGTTCAAAATTTAACCATATTGATTATATGCAACCACGGTATCAGTCGATTACGATGAAAAATACTCTACCACTATGAATAAGATTACGATTTTGTTTAAATGAAGAATGTTAGGAGTTAACATATTGTCATTGAGGATTTTCAGAAGGGTGTTTCATCGATGTTGTCACTAAAAATTTATCCCATCCATATGATCTATAGATAATTGAGTCCTCAAGTATGTGGCTAATCTTCGGAAAATTATACGGGGAAACAAGCACTAACGAACATATCTACGATGTGTAAAAATGATAGTAGTAAACAGTTCTGAACAACATTAACTGATGTAGCCGATTTAGGTTATATTTTATATCAGACACTTATCCGACCAATAAAATACTAGAAAGAACTAAATTATTAATTCTTAAGGTGGCTTCTATTTTAGTTTAATGAGTACGTCAGGATTTTGCTCATCTTCAAAAGGTCGAGTTTATCTTTTCTACTAAATATTGTATTAAATAATTATAATTTACAATCCCCAAGTGTGTCAGAAAAAGACAGGACGATGTATCATGAAGTTATCAGCTCATGATATATAGAATTGCAAAATCAGTATTGGAATTCACCATGAGACGAAAATCCTTACTTAGAAATATACTTCCCTTTGAATGAGTGATTCAATTTAATTATTAGTCCGCTCATACTTCACTTTGTTTCATCTGTTTTAATACAAAAATCTTTGACAATTGGCAGCATTACTGGTTTAACAACTTATATTGATTGGTCATTGAGTAGTAATCACTATAATGTTCACCTAGCCCTTAGTAGTATTCGAATTTAACCAAACAAGTTGCAGTGTACAGACTCGACATAATGTACATTGTTTTGATCTGAATGGATCGGAGGTAAAAGTTCCGTGACAATGGCTGACGCCGATATAAAACGAATATACAGCACCAGTTTCTTCAAGTTTGCAGAAACGAGTCCCAACTAGTACTAGACCAAAGTACAGGACCTCCATGCGGTTACTTACAACCACCTAGCATCATGTTACTTGTACAAAACTCTCAAAGAATTGTTCCACTTTCTCGACGTAAAATAAAGCAACTTAGGTCGATTCATAACTTTACAATACTCAAATTCTAAATCAAAGAACAAGCGAGTTGGGACAAGAAAAGTATGTATTGCACTGACTTCAAACTCAGTTATTCTCTGTCTGTAAAGCGAAAATCAGAACTACGAATTCGGGATTTAAACATTCGCCCTTGAATCATTACGACGCGAATTCATCAGTTTAAGCAGTATGGTATTGTTAGTAGCCTTTAAATAGCAAGTAGGCTTAAAGGTGCAGAAACGACCTTTCAGTAAAAACTGTATGGTTTATAACGCCGAAATAAGTAGAGCTAATAAAAAAGTGATAATGTTTAATTTAGAGAAAGTTTTAGATTTGAAATTGGCATACAAAACATTCTCACATAAAATTTTATGTTTTCTATTGTCGGAAATAGTGAGAAACATCTAATTTCCTACATTTTTTTTCCTTTAAAAAAAGTATATATTCCTAACATGAACTCATATTTCTTCTGTTACATACTGTTTTTGACCTAATTGAAATCAATCTAAAAATATTGAATGAACACACATGCAACCTGAGTGCATAGGTCATCTTATATTTACACAAAAATCAAATATTATTAACAAATTATATATTGATCATTAGATAAGAATCTTACTAATAGTAATGATAATAATAATAATAATGACAATCATTAATTTCGTCATGAGTATGACCAGATCCATAATACTTCACAGAAAACAAGCACATGAAGAGAAGAATTAGAAAAACAGGAAAAATGAAGATAAGTAGTAAGCTGTCAAGAACAATATACGGTAATAGGATACTATATATATATGGTAATTATTTTTTTTCACAGAGATCACAGTTAGGCAGGGATTATAGGTGGGGGAGGAAATGATAAAGAATAAGCACGAAGATACCATGTGACAGGAGAGAGAGAGAGAATCTAAAGTAAGTAATCAAAATACGCACCAACAGTGATACAGGATTATGGTAGAAACAAATGAAATGATATCAGGATAAATTAAGGGAAAATAAAAAGATCTAATAATAAAATTATACAAATGAACGAACAAATGTTCATATTAATCGATCAACCTTACAATTTCACCTGGAATTCAAATGATTGAGTAAATTTGTGCGCATTTAGTTGAATGTGGGAACAAACATAAAACTTTTTATTTCTTACTGGAAGTGAGAGAAAAAAAACATTGTCTTCTATTGAAAAAATAATCATTTTCTATATCGAATCGCAAGAGACATACTACACAATATTATTGGAACATTGGTGAAGAATAGTACAAAGAAGGGAAAATTAAGTAATGATAGTAATAAAATTAATAACTGAACATTGAAATAACGAAAAAAAACACAATTGAAAACATTTTATTTACAACAGTATAAATTAAGATGTGAGCTGAAATAGGCATATATATATACATTCATTTAGATTGTAAAGGAATCGAAGGAAAGAGTGAAATATATGTATTCCAGATAAATAGTAGAGTGGATTAAAGAGATGTGTTAAATATTGACTGATTTGTCTACTCTACTCTACATGAGAACGTAAAAACACAAAAAGACAAATACAAAAAAGGGAGATAAACTAAAATAACACAAACAAACAAGTTAGTACACTTTTTAATGCAGGGGCCATTGAATAGTTTAAGGATTGAGAAGAAAAACACTCAAACTATAACCGTAAAACAAAAAGGAAAGTATATTTTTCAATTTGTAAACATTTACATAAAAAAAAGAGGGATTTGTCTAAATCAACAGAGAAAAGCAAACAAAGAATGATAGTTGGAAGTAAAATGCAGATGTTTGAAACATATGAACAATAAATTTCGATGTAAAATCTCCTAATACTAACCAGAAATAATGATAATAATATGCACATAGATGTAAAGAAATCAAGTGAAAACTGTAGCGCTTCTATTGTCAGTAATACTAAGATTTTCTGTACAAGTTAAATTGGATTGATTAGATGTTGTTAAATTTGAATTAGATTTATGTTCTGGGAAATTTGAATTATTCAATGTAGTATCTAATGATAATGTTGTATTTACATTATCGGTTAGTTTATCTAAATCATTAATAATTTCTTTGATGGCATTCTCTGCGTCTTTTAATAAATTTGCATTATTTTTATTGTACTTACTTAGATTATTAGTATTATTATTACAAGTAGAATCGAGTTTTTTAGAACGTAATAAACTGCTAAATGTTTGTAAACATGCAAATCGATCACGAAAATTAAATTTTGCTCGAGCTGAACATGTGGCCTGATCAATATATGCAGAACAACTAAGTCGACATGCTTCCATTTGATCTGCTAACTCAATTAACTGTTCTAAATTTGATGACGATGATGATGAAATGGTAGCGGAAGAGGGAGAGGAAGTAATATTTCCAGGAATTTTTTTATCATTCATACGAATCAAACGTTCTAAGTCTCCTAAAATATTTGATAAATGCTTTTTCAAGTGGTGTTTTGTTGGTGGAACACAATGATTATTACCATTAGTCTCGTCCAATGCTGTAGATGATGTAGAAAATATAGTAGGTAAATATAATCGTTGGGACCGCTTCTGATTACCAGCTGAATGATCATCAGTTGGACCAGTCCAACTTAAACGCTTTTGTATTATATCAGATAATTTATCAGAGATTTCATTTTCAGACCTTTTGAAATGAGGTTTTGGGGAATTATTATTATTACTATTGATATTTGTGGGCAACTTGCTGGTCGTAGTGACAGTTGAATGAGAACTATTATCATTTTTGATTTGAGTCGATGCAAGTGATCGGATCAATTCTGAAGGACAACATGGAGGCTCCACTTTTCCACGTGTTGATGTTTGGTTGTTACTGGATCCAGAAGTATTATTCGAGGATATTCGAGGTGAATTCGCAGAGTGTGGTGGTGGTCTTAAGCGGGGGATAGTGAAATAAGGGGAAGAATTAGAAACCGATGATTTTGAATCACTTTTTTCCTGATTACGCAGCACTGAATTCGTAACATTACTAGGTGAATTATTTAGTATAGATTTAGATGTAATCGGTTTCAGCTGAGATGAACTTTTAAGCTGTTGAGAATGTTGTTTTAATCTATCTCGTAATTCCTCTTGAAAGACAGACGACGAAACATTGGTAGGATGAACATTTTGCTTAGAAGAAACATTATTCCCTGAATAAGATTCATTAGGAAAATTAGAATCTATACTGCGCTTATTGTGGGAATGATCTACAACGGGATTAGTTTTGTTAGGTAAATCCGAATTTACAGTGGTTTTCGATAAAGCTGGTGACTTTGAAGAAAGCTGAATATGTTTACCTGGTGTGGGAGGAGCAAGTGGTGATATTAAACGATCAGGACAAATTGATCTTGTCAGGCTGTTATCTAACGGAATGGGATCCACATATGAAAATTGACGAGAAGATGGGAAAATTGCTGTAAGATAGGAAAAATGATGAAAACAATCATAGTAAAATTACAATCTACTTAGAAGATAGTTTTGCAAGATGCTATAATTGATAAGTAATCCTTTCTAGAAGTGTATTTAGTTGAATAGTTAGCATTTTCTGATACTGTCTTAGTACAAAATACGAGGCAGTTTAGGGTATGCAAGAGGACAAGTAATCTCATATTGTCGTCGACTGTTGTTAAAATCTCTCTTTATATGAGTCAGATACTCTTATTGCTTAGTATTCTTCGGACAATTCACTTCATCTGACTATTCCTCAAAATCAGAGGACGGTTGAACAGGAATGAGATCATACTCCAAATAAACCAAGTTGAATGGGAGTAACAGTTTTAGTGAAAATATTAGTAAATTTATAAATTATGTACAAGAATATTCTAGAGTCTTATTCACCTTTCTTCAAGCGCTGATTGGCTAAAAAATGATCTAGTTAGAGTCCCCCAACATTAAACTGCATGGAACATGTACCTATCCAGAATATGGCTTGCTAACAACTCTTTATGTTTGACGAGTAAAAAAATTCTATCATATTTTTTGAGAAACAAAAATCGTGAAGTCGGTCATTCGTTACAAAATGAGAGCAAACTGTTTTGCAAGGATTTAGGTCATCTTCATAAGTACAAAACTAAAAGTAACTTAGTTGGAGAAGAAATATACAGACATGTATCAAAAGACAATTACGTTGCATAGTAACTTATTTTGCACTACTTTGAGTGAATTGAAATATTCCTGCTACCAGTTGATGAATTAGGAAGTTTTAAGTATTCTAGAATGTTATTGTCGTATTTCCTGCAGGAAACAGAACTAATAAGTTGGTGATGCTAAGGCTAGGGACATAATAATGAGTGGAACCCTGTACGTCGACTGACGAACCTTTAAGCCTATGTACACATTCATTATCCATCCCGAGCAACTGATTAACCCGAGGTAAAATACTGTCTGATAGCTGTTTTATTCTATTTTGGAATTCTTAAACAATCTGAACACTCCCAATACTACATGAAATCAGATCAAAATCCTTCGGCTCTCGAACTGAGCATGATTGTTTCAAACCATCAAGTTATCATTCATATTTCCAAACATACTAAAATCCCAATACGTAAATTTGGAAATAATTCTACATATTGATTACGTAAACCTAAAAATTTATTTCAGCAAGTTTCAAAAAAAAGCAATCATCACATAGAATAACAAACGTCACAAATTATACCATAAATATGACTAGTAAATTGATAAAATAATTTACATACCAGAACTACTCATAACTGATGGCACTGTAAATGGTGTTGAGTTCGAGTTATTTGATAATGAACCATTATTAGACTGTGGTGCTAGACGAGGATGTTGTTGTGATCGGGGTTGATGTATTTGATGATGACTAGAATCAAGATGAACTGGCGGGGGTGGCAGTGGTGGATGATCAAAGTCATCCAGATGGGAATTCGGGCAAACACAATTACTATCTTCTAATGAATTGAAATCAGTTAAGAAATTTAACGGTTTAACTGGTGTAGTACGTCTTGGTGGCCGCGGTGCAGTTCTTTTACGCCCAAGAGATCCTGAGTTTGTAAATGGTAGATCTTTTTCAGTAGTACCAAACTCATCAGTACTTGAATCACCAATATGTAATTGTTTCGAAAGGGGATTCTTAAAACTCCTTGTAAATATACCTCTATGAGATTTGTGGTTAACGTTATTATTGTTATTATTTATAGCATTTACTGGTATATCACTACCCAAATCGGATTTACAATCCTCTGAAAAAGAAATAAGATTAAACGAAATGATGACACAAGAGTAAAAATATGTGTAAAAAATATGAATTTATGGTGCAACTTTTAATCAAATATAGTTCTGTGAATTTGACTAATTTTAGATCTAATGGAAGATATTTAATCTGGCTGTCCAAAACAAAGTTAATGGAATAGGGTTCAAAGTAATAATAAATTAGTAGAATTAGAACTTTTGAAGAACTAAGGCATTGTTCTATTAATTGATAGTTTAAAAATTTAAAGTTCGGTTTAATAAACTAATGTCAGTTGAAAAACTATGAGATTTGTAGTGAGGACTTTATGAAAATGTATGATAGCGTAGTCATTACACCATCGGAATTACGAACTGTTATGATACGTTTGTTTGACAAAACAGGGATATTTTGACAGTAGTTTTTTTATTATTTCTGTACTAAGTGATATTAGTCACACTTGCTTTAAATAATTAAACTCAGAATTTGTAAGCCATGACAAATAATAACTATCCCACTGATTCTGTTGTTCAAAGCTGAGTACAATCAAACAATTGTTCAAATCTATGATAAACAATACGTTACGTATTTTTATACAATCTATTTATTTGAAAGAGACAAAAAATACTTCGCCAAACTTGATAGTACATCATAATTTCAAAAACGTTAGGATGAATGATTAAATCCCAGTAAAAACAGACAATTCAGAAATATTTACTGACTTATATGCACACGGATACAACTACTAAGTGAACTTCTGTGTATCATCAGTTACAGTCTCTACAAATGTGTGTCACAATTCATGTCTGTTGTCAAATTTCATGTCGACAAAACAAAAGAAGAAATAAAAGATGTGGAACAAAGATAACAATATAAATAATAGTAATGAGAAACGAGGAAAAAAGTCTAAAGGAACAAATGAAAGTACTTTTGAAAAGTCAATTACTACGAATTGTAATAGGAGGTAAATGTTTATTCTTTTTAACTGACCATCTGAATATATTTGCGTTCACCATGAAAAACTATCTCCAAAGAGGAACGAATTCAAGTATATGAGAAACGAACACAATTATTCATTATAGTCGTAAATTAATCATAAATCATTATAGGATAATTGGTCAATAGAACTTCTAAAGAATGCTGACTACTTTACTATTTACCGATAATAACAACTAGACCAAATAATCGCAGTTCCATATAAATTGACAATTGAATGAAAAGTTGTTAATGAATTAAGGAGATAATTGTGATACCTCAATAAAAGTAGAATTTTTGATTTCTAACGTTTACTGGTTTAGTTTCAGCCACTTCTTCAGGGAAGATAAATAAATAACTGAAGCAAAATTAATACAAATTTAAATAGTGCAAAGGAAATTCAGCAGAATATTTTTTAATAAATGAAAATCAAAATGGTTTCGAACATTGCAATGTCATGCTGCGCAAGGTGACTTATGTGGGATAATAGAATATTTCTACTTATTAAGATATCATAAAATTATCATTTAATGTTTTATGCTAATCCTAGTTGCAGGAAGATTAAATATAAAATATAACCTAAACTGCCCCCAAATATCCTGGTACAGTCGAGAATGGAAAGAGTCGGCTCTAATCAAATACTCTCACATGGCCACACGTATACAGCCATTAATAGGGAAGTCATTCTCACTGACATCTCGTAGAGCGAGTGTTTGTTTCACAAAAGTGAGAGGAAGAAAATCGAATGTCCAGAGCTTTAACCGGGTCGTTCGATACAGATAACCCAATCGGGGAAGTTGGAAAACCCTGAGTTCAAACAAATGGTGAATATCGGCTACAGGATCCTGAGGGAACAAATGACGTATGAACCTATTGTTGGTCACCGAATACCATGAGGCTGCATCTCCAGACACTGCTCCACTGCCTTGTGGATTAGGTCTCTAGGTCAAAGGTTCGGGGAGTGACCCTCTAAGTAAACCACCTGCATCGGTTTGGACATCCGAGCATTATCCCAGTCCTCACACAAATAGAATGGTAGTGTGGCACATATATATTTGGTGCCTATTTGTACTTATATATATATAACTAATTATATTTGAATGAACACTTTTTTTCTTTAAAAGACAGTTATTATTTGAATGGTTCTTTAAAATTTATAGTAAATTACAACATAAAAATAGAATTTATCGGATTATGTATTTATTCAACTGTTTGCTGATGTATATATATATATATATATATATATATATATATATATATATATATATATATATATATATATATAAACTTAAAGAAGTAACAAAACCACTTTACTTTATTCAGAAATTATGAGATAAAAGTGACTTTGTAGAATAGTAGTTAATAAATAAGCCATTTTATGACAGTATATCATCAATGACATAATGTTTAAAAGAATAAATAACGAAAGTTTCTTCTTACAGAAAAAGAACTTAACAATCTATACTTCTTTGTAATGTGTAAACAGGGTGAGGGAAAAAGAACTTATCCAAAAGAAATTCAAATCTCAAAGAAGTCTGAAAGAGTAAGTTATAGTGTAATTAAGAGATAATATAGCTTAAACTTGTCAAAAATTGTGATGGGCAATTTTATTAAGTAGTCCTTACATAAAATTGTGTAATTCACAACGAAGTTAACAGCTTTTAGTGAATTGATAATACTCAGAACTAATGGCAGAATAATTCATTAAAATCAATCAGAATAAACTTTCAATAGCTTGAACACTAACAGTCAAATAGCACCATTTGTTATTTCTCATGTTATACGATCCGAGTAACAAAATCTAACTCACGTATCAGAGCTCAATTAAGATCACATAAACTGAGAATCTGTCACAAAACAATAACAGCAATGCAAACAGAAGAAGTAACTAATTCGTCAATCTTTAGACGTGAGGGTTAGTGACACTATCCAACTGACCAAATTGAAGTAGTTGGAGTAGGACTTGGAACGTGTGACAAAAAGACTGAAACCAGAATACTTTAAACAAAATCAAATTAAGAAACCGTTTCAAATTGCATGTAACATTCAAAGAATAACAAAACTTTAACTAACCTTTAATCATATCAAATTGATTATCATCATTCTCATCAATTAAATAATCGCAACTGGTACTTCTTCTTGGTGGGGGTGGTCTAGGAGGCAGTGGCGGTCGCGGATACGCAATATTAGGTGGATGTTTAATGGATCTATTTGGCTCGCTAGAGTTGATCACCTTTATTTCATTGTTATTTATTAATAACGATGATGATGATGTAGTAGAAGTTATATCAAAATCAATTTGTTCTTCTTCTTCTTCCGTTGTAGAATTAGTTGGCATAGATTCCAATTGATTTAATATATCAGAAAATGGTGGGCGTTGTTCTGGAAGCCATTGCCAACCTGAAAAAGAGGTAAATATTAGTAGGAAGAAAACAATACATCGAGACTATCTGAACAGGATGTACATATGTCAAAAAGAGAGAATGATCTGTTACAGTACCAGACATCAATGGGAATGTCAGATAATGTGAAATGTTTATGTACTAAAATAAACTTATTTCAGAGTACAGAAATTAAGTGATTCATTAGTTTGGCAAAAAAAGAGTCTTAACAGGAACCATACATTTAATGAACTCTATACTTGGTTCTATGAATGTAAAGAGTAAACAAAAAAATATTATACAACATAGATTGTTGTGCAAAAAGGTACAATTAATAAATCGTATGTCTAGTATGTTTGTTATTTCATCATGATGAAACTAATTCTCACAATATATTATGTGAGAATAAACTATAATACCGATAAACAATGAACTGATACATTATTCAATATTAGTCAGTCAAAACGAAACGAGTATCGAGCTAACTTGGGACATGTGATATCATAATCATCATCACGATAAATGATAGTGAAAGTACATAGAAGTTGAAATAATGGTAATAATATCTAAATTTGGTACAAAAGAGAATAAATCAAAAGAAGGATGAGTGAAATTCGCGAGTGAAAAGTGTAGATTAATACTTATTTAGAAATTTCAACAAAGATACATTTATAGCAAATCAAACTGAATAAACGACTATTTTCATTATGCAAATCATTTTAGGATTAAAACCTGTGGTGATTGTGAAACCAGACTAAAATGCTGTCAAATGGTTTGAGGTAGTCAGAGAGAAGTCCTGGAATTATGTTCCGTGTTGGCTGGTATTTATAATCTTGCTACTTGTGGGATTTGAACACACATTGCCGAGGTTCAGTCTGAGACGTTGTCACAAAGCTATTCCGGCAAAACAAAAATGACACTAATCACTACTCAGTGATCGATCCATTCTAATGTAGGCCCCACATGGTTTCTTATTAGGAAGGTTATGAATAATTAATAAATTACGTATGGTACAACAACAAGTATTTCACTTTAATACCTTCAAAAGATTAAGTGATAATTGAATGAATCGATAAGCGAACAGCAGGATTCCTGATAAGTTATTTTATGATCTATCAGATATTTAAACTCATTTCTCTGTTAATTAAACACAAATTATGTTACAGTATGTATTACAACGAGTTTAAAAGTTGATAAATCCTTTAAAAACCACTAAACTATCATCTATTAAACGTATCGACTATATCAATACCCTTATGATGAATTGCAGATTTATATTTTTATTCTACATTCATTTACTGTTAATTTTCAAAACAAACAAAATATTTTTTAAAACAAAATGAATACAATACAAAAAAAGAAAGAAATTTATGCAATCGCTCTTTAAAATTACCATATTTTATTCTGAAGTGATGTGATGTTGAAGTTTATGTACACTGACAATTTGCTTATGTGAAATTCAACGACAATATACTAAGGTATCTAGATCGAAGTAAATAAAGTAGGTTTGAGATTGTAACTAACTGAGGTCGAAAGCATCAATCAATGAATTATCAGCACCATATATACTTATTTATTTCCAGAATTACCCTTAAGTGGTAACAGTCAAATTATTACAATTAAACAATATCTATGTCTCGAGAGCAAGAAGCCAACAAACTAATAATTAGGGAAAACAAAATAATAGTAAGGGTCTGATGCATATGCGTTACCCAAGTAACCTAATTTTTATCAAAGAGAATTAATCGAGTGAAGCTAAGAATAACACGTAGACAATTCAATGATCGCATCAAAGCATTGAAAATAAACTATGAAAGCTGAACAAAATACATTTAGAGAGAGAGAGATAATGAAAAATATTAAAAAAGCTAATTATTTAGTAGAAGAATGAATATACAAAGAGAACCACTATTCATTCACACACATATGACATTTGTTTGTTTGTTTTTCCTTAAAATAACAAAGAAATGATACTAGTAGTAACGGTTAGAAGATACAATATTTCTCCTTATCTCCACTTGGACAGAGAAAACATAAAAACGGGGAAATAAAGATGAAAGTATTTGTTGAAAAGCAAAATGACAGCGAATAAAAATGTGTACCTAAAACAAGGATAATAGTTGAATAAATGTGTCTAATAATAATTATAATAGTAATAATAAGGCAAATGTGAAATTCCTTAGACATATGAATCATTCAGTGAAACAGAGGAATTATAACCAGCTTAGTGATCAATGAATGGTTATTTTCAGCCGACAATAAGTAGCAAACACTTTTATTTATCATCAGATTTAACCTATTAGTAATGTTCTAGTAAATATACATGAATCTATCTAACATGAAAATAATTCATTTTATTCACAGAAGCCGAAATCTGCCTAATGCCAAAGACAATCATTGGTTATTAGATATTATAGATAAATAATAATAATAATTCTCCAGGCACAGGCGTATGTACTTGGTTTTGAATAGTGCATTTTGTGTGATGGCTAATGGTAAAATCAGCCTGTTTAAGGTGGGTTCGAACACAAAGTTTATTTGTAGTATGAAGAGAAAGGTTGGTTGTTGACAAGACAAAACAACTCTGTATGTATTAGTTGTTAATCAATAGTGGAGAGGGTAGAAAAAATAAACACTAAGTAGCTAATTACTATAACCTATAGTTTTGCACATACACCAAGTAGGATAAAAACTAGATTTGTTGTACCTTTAATAAGTTGACAAATTAATCCCAACCAAATACGATTCCCACATTAACTTATTAACCATTAAACACAAAAAATAACTAGTAGAAATGTACCATGACAAAATGCTCAAAAAGACTTCATTCAAGTCAACTTGATGTCCTGTGTTTTTTAAATATGTTAATATAGAACTGTTAGGCGTCTTTAGTTGCCGTTTTCTAACTAATGAAGGATCATGTTCAGAAAGCCAAAGACGAACTCGACTAATTGTATTCGATATAATTAGTTGTACAACTGAAAATAAACACTTAAATACATACAGAAGAGACATGTCTTTGTTTTTAAATGTTCAGACCAGTGGATTGAAAAAACGTTTGTCGAAAATATGCAGACATGACTTGCCTTACTAACCTGGCCAAGACAAAACCAAATTTTCGTATCATGCAATAAAGAAGCAGCTAGCACAAATTCTACACGCATTTGACAAAAAAATCATTAAGCATAATCTAAAAGATTGCTTTTAGAGTATGTTGATTAGAAAGATGGCAGTCGAAAATAAATTCATGATGGCATCAGATCTGTCATATCTATTCACTAACGTCTCTGTATTAGTAACAATTGAAACTCTATGCAGTGAGTGTACTGAGCAACGCATAGGAACTGGGACTCCGCTCTCTACATCAAAACAGGTGCACGATGAATGTGCAGTTCTGATTCAGTAAATTCTACAGATAGTCGAATGAATGAACGGGTATTATTGAGTTTATCATTATATTAATTTATATTACCATATCACTCATAAATATTGTGAAAATATCGTCTATGCAACGACTATAAACTGCTAGCTGATCTCCTACATTTTAGAGAGGTTTATTGTCCCACTAAGCTCGAAAAATATCTGCTAAAAGTGATCCCCATAGTAATCGCACAGTTACATGAAAAATAACTTAGTGTAAGGACCGTATAATTAAGAAATAATCAAAGTAAGAAATATCGTTAATCTAGCAGACTGAAAACAATCTACACTATTTATTTGTTTTGACAAATAAACATTGGTACAAGGAGGCACCAAATACATACGCGCCACACAAATCGAACGATTTGTGTGAGAACTGGAATACTATCCTACACTATTTAAATCACATAACAGTGATGTTAATGAGATAGAAATGAATAAAAAGTTTTGTGTGTACCCTACATCAAAAGATAAATAATGCAAGCGAAAACATAATTATCCAAGTTACATAATCGAAAATAACTTAATTAATTGGTGGAACAATCAATAAAACGTACATTGTAACATAAGTTCATAAACTGGTTCAGGGCAACCTTCAGGACAAAGCATTCGTGTACCTCTTTCTAATAAAACATAAACATCTTGTAATTCAACACCTGGATATGGTGTTTTTCCATAGGTGGCAATTTCCCATAATAATATACCAAATGCCCATACATCTGATTTAGTTGAAAACAGATTATAGACTAAGCCTTCTGGTGCTGTCCATTTTATGGGAAATTTAGCGCCTTCATGAGCTCGATAGGTAAGATCACGTTCTATACAACGAGCTAAACCAAAATCTGCCACTTTAATGGTATGTTGTGTGCCAACTAGACAATTGCGGGCTGCTAAATCACTATACAGTGAAGAAAAACATTACAATAAAAAGAAAACGATTTGTTAGGGTACAACAGATAACATTCAGAATAACAAATTCATGTATTCAACAAAAATAAACTAAATAATCATGTCATTATTGAATTATATTTAGGTTCAATTACACGTTTGTCAAGCGTGTTTAAAATAAAAAGCTTCCAGGAAAGCACACAAACAGAGAATAATGAATAATAAAAATTTGATCTTAAATTTATTTATCTAACAGTTAAATTTATTCTACATAAACATTATTATTTCGAGTCATGATAAACTGTTTATATGACGAACAACAAGGTTTCTCAGCACGAAGGATAGTTTGCATTGAAACACTGGTCATTTTCTGCAAGAAAACAAATAATTTATCATACTGATTATAAGTGAATTGAAGGATTAATTACTGGACGCTAACTATAAATATATTGCGAACATTTCCAGAACAGCTATTAAATGATAATTGTTTTTTGTATATAAAATATTGATTCTTCCTTTAAGAGTGACTCTTCGCACTATGGATTTATTTAGTTGAACACATGAATATTGATACAAGAAGGCACCAAATATATATGCGCCACACAAAACAATAAGAATGGGAACAGAAAGAAAATAAGGTAAGGAGAGTAGAAGAAAAAAAAAAGACTAGTGTAAGGTAGTGTAATAATAGTGATAATAATAACAATAATAATGATAATATTACTAATAATAATAATAGGGGAAACAGAAAGCTACAACCAGAAAAATTCTTTCAGTTAAGGAAGATACAACTACTTTTTATGGAAAAAGTAAAAGGAGGTTACAGCAGGATCGCTACTGGCTTCTATTCTGAGCCATATCTGATAACCTCTCTAGCCACTGTGTCGCACCATCTCTAGGACCCCCAGCCAGTGAGTCGTGAAGGATCAACACAAGTCAGTCCCGTGCAGCTTTCTTTCATACCACGACACCATTTCAAACACTGACCACCTCTCCTCTTTTTCCAACCAGTCTCAGAGTCGCCAAATAATGCACGACGTGGAACTCTCTGAGACGACATTCGTAGAACATGACCAAGTCACCGAAGTCGATGTTTCAAGATGGTGACATCAATCGGATTATTATCTCTGTGCCCGAACACACGATGCCGAACCTCTGCATTACTAACATGGTATTGCTACTGAATATTAGCAATCCTTCGGGGACAACGATGATCAAACACAGAGAGTCGTCTAACAGCCTCAACTCGATCAGAAAGAAAAATCAACTACTGTATCATTTAATTGATTGTATTTCGACAATGTGTAGGGATATTATTGTTTCATTTGCTATTATTCACCACTACATAATGAATGTATAATAACTAGGCTCAAGCGACAAAATAGGGAATTTTAATTACTAGAATAATTAAAACATGTTAACTAGACTATAGGATTCAGATGAATGGGGAAAAAATCAAAGTTAAGAAAAAATATTCACTTTCACAGTATGATTACGATATATTCAAGCTAAAAAAGTGCTTATGTCACATATACAATATGAAGCTGATAATTTTTTTCGAGAACGTTATACGTGATAAACGCTTGGAGAAAGTAAAATGTTACGTCAAATATATATAGATGTAGAATGTGCTTCCTGTAAAGCTTCAGTTAAAAGTTATAATACAAATTTGTAGCATGTCTGTACTAATAACCATAAATTATATTATACACCCAAAGTAATAATGTATCTCAGTAACTTGTAATAACTATTTTGAAAGCCGGTGAATGTAATCAAACGATAGTTCGGATAAATAAATATAAACTAAGTGTACTTTAAAAATACCAGTTAGTATAGATCAAATATGAAAAGTTCATCAATCAAAACCATAAACTATATGGTTATTAATGAATATTAACACAATAAGTGAATAGCTATTACTGAATCGAAATTATTGCATGAATTCAAAAGGCGATAAGCTATAGTAATTACGATTGTCGGTTGTCAGTTTCAATGTTACTTTCCACAAAACTTTTCAGACCTATATAAAAGTCATATAATTTATTTGTGATAAGGAATCAAATTAAAGTGTAAATCACTAAAAATAATTTATCAGTGTGAGGATTTGTGGAGATTGTTGTATTTTAAGAGTTGAATTCACGAGTCGATCTCAGCCAGACCGTCATTAAAAACCTGGAAGCAATGGAAGGTCGTCTCACCCTAGTGTAGGACTCCTCGAGAGTGAGCACCCACGATCCAGTACTCGGGGCTTCACCCCAGGACATTCCGTCTCGCACGCGAACGCTTAACCTCTAGAGCACTGAGTCAGCATCCAACAGTCTTAATGTCTAACTTTGATCGATTCATGATCTTGTGCAACTCTTCATCCATTGCCTAAAGTAGATAGCTATCTCACACCCGAAACGGATTGGACTTCACTGGTCACAGTTTCTCACTAAAACTCCAGGAAATCCATCTTGAAGCTGGTCACTAGTGAGTAAATGTTTATCATCAGTATGGAGATTGTAGTATTTTAAACAGTCCAGTACTTCCAGGTTTTCAATGATGGTCTAGATTAGATCGATTCGTAAATACAACGTTTAAAACTCAATAATCATAAGAGTTAGCACAGATAAATGAACAGAAAACTAAACCATGATTATGAGTGATAGTTATTATTTGATAATAAATTAGTTCACCTTTATTTAATTTTATACAAGATAATATCTACATGAAAGTGAGTAAAATCAGTTTTAACTTCGAAATTTTAAAAAAAACAGTAGCATGAGAAATCATAAATTGAACATAAACAACAAAAAGAACTCACCGATGTATAAAGTTGTGTTGTTCCAAATAAGCCATACCTCTAGCAACTTGAGTTGCCATATGTAATAAGACTGAAGGTGTTAATTCTGTTCTAGGATGTGTACGTAAATAATCTAACAAGTTCCCATTACACATAAATTCTGTGACAATATAATAAGGTGGTTCCCGAGTACATGCACCTTTAGAGAAAAAATTTAAAAGAAAACTTGCAAGTGGCTTGTAGCTGTTATGATAAGTGAAAAGAATGAATTATGAACATCTAATAAATGATGTATCATCTGACAGTAATTAATGACAACACATTCATGGAGAATATGTTAAGCTTACATTTACTGCAAAAACAACTTACAAATGGTGCCAAATCAACATAAACTGAGTTTGGGCACCCGGGCAGTATTCCAGGCCTCACACAAATCCAAATCATTCGATTTATGTGGCTCATATATATTTGATGCCTTCTTGTACCAATGTTTATGTGTTTAAATAAAACACACCTGAAGCTAGCAGTATACATTTGAAAAAAATGTTAAAAATGGCTTCATCCAGATCAAAAATTTTGATAGTGAAATAGTTCTTCCTTGTTTTCAATGTCTGCCACTAACTAGAGTCAGTCTATGATATAAACTATGAAGTTCAAGTTATATTCTTTCGATTATTTGGAATGAATCGAGGAAAAATGTGTTAGTAAAACTCGTAAAAAAAATTCTGCGTACGTACCTAACAAAGTCACAAGATTTGGATGTCTTAAACTTTTCATCAAACGAGCCTCTTCTAAAAATTCATCACGAACTGTGACATTTTCCTGGAAATAGTAATTTTTAAGAAACACATATCATGTACTTGTTCAGGATCAAATCATCAAAACAAACTACATTTCAATAATCGTCAACTTATAAATAAAATGGGCGAAATGAAAAACTATTAGCACACAAAAAGTATTCGTCATATTACTTAAAAAATTGGATTGATTCCAACCTTAGATAATTGAGTCCAAACTAATAATATACTACAATATCTCCATCATTTCGCAATAACATTTCAACCATTCTTGACGCACGCTTTTATTGTCTTCCCAAAAGAAAATCTTGCTGTACAACTACTTGTGAGTAATAAAGCTTGTAAATAAGATTGAAAAAGGACAATATATAAAAGATAAAGAAACTAATGGAGACTTAAAGGATTTCGGCCAGCAAAAGTAAAAACTCGAACAGTAAATCTAAAAGCAGGATTACTTAAGTATCCTTAGTAAAAGAACAGTAAGATAATAGAAGAATAAGTAGTTGCCTGTATCACAAAACCACTACATTTAGATGAGATTCCATCTATCATAGTGAGGCTGTGATTAGTGAAATCTCTGGAATACAAAAGATTACTTGAACTTTTCTTAAGTACCACCAACTAACTACAGGATAAAAGAAATGTCGAAATGCTTATTAAAGGTTTCATCGACTGAAATGGGTAGGATATATTTACAAACCAATGCACTAATTCCTCTAAGTAACACAGATTGTGATATTAGGTTATTTATATAGAACAGTCGGTCACAGTAGACAAATCTAAAATATGTAGTTGTGTGCAACATGTGTTTACTGATTTTACGCACGCAGAGGGTTATTGCGGATTTCAGTTATAAGCATCAATAGAATGGATCATTAATAATTCAGTAAAACATTAATAAGAAATCAGCGTAGTTGTTTTATAAGAACATCAGTCAACTATGTCTTTGTACTTCGATCCCATGAACAGTAACATAAATTATCACGAATCAAACTTATTTTGTGTACATACCATTTAAAGTGGATCGGTCAGGTTGAACTCATGAGCAAATTGAAGATATAAATAACCATGCACAATCATTTCGCCTTATTAACTGTTTGGATTTACCATAATGACAACGTACTAGATGATACTAAAGTCCTTACTAAACAGTAGCTCAGAGCAGAATTCTTAAAATATTCACCGGCTTCTATAAACCGAATGCTATGAATTAATTGAAAACACTATTAGAAAATTTAATACAGATAAACTCATATCTAAACGACATTATTCAGTCAACCTGTCGAATAGAATATGTAACAGTTAAAGGACTATCAAAATAAAAACTAAATTAGAGAATATTTAGTTAAAATGTTATCGCAATGGGTAAACTCGTACCTTAAGTGTTTTCACAGCAACTAATACATTATAAGGTTTCCATACAGCCTCATATACTACACCATACTGTCCTGATCCTGAAATTAAAAAGTCCGTAAAATACTAAAGATAAGTAATCTAAAATGAAAACATATGTGTACAACATCATAAAGAGTTCTAATTAAGCAGGATATTCTCGATTGGTTGGTTTTAAGCTTTTGTCATAAAAGAGTGGTAGAGATGACAAGTGTAAATAAATTAAAATCATTGGTGAACTAGGAAGCGAGTTTATACTGGTAAATGGCACTTAGAGAATATACTATTTCATTTATATGATGTTACTGTAAAAGAAACTAGATTCCTAAAAAAAAAACTTCTGAAATCAACAATTTTAAACTCATATAAGACCAATTAAGATCAACAAGCAAATCGTTCAAATATTACGGAAGTTCAGTAAAAAGTTGAGACTTACTGGTTTGGATGTTCAAAATTCAACCAGCTATAATTCTGGTAGCTGAGTGGAATCGTTAACAACCCCCACACAAGTATGATTAACAGACAAATACATAAACCAGTAAATGATTATTGAGTAACATAACTAAACACTGATCTGACTTACAAATAGTACGGCTAAAATTCGCTTATAATAAAAGTGCTGTTTATTATGGTCATTAAAAAAACCCTTAGAGTAAATAACACCTAAGAACACTGTTGATTTGGACCATAATTCTCGTTATGAGCATAGTGCAGTGAATGAGACTAAGGTGAGGATAACCAATTTATTGATCAAAGCAAAATTACAGAGTGCTTTCGTAAAATCTAAAAACCATACATTAAATATATTATTTGCACATCTTCCTCCAGTTGTCTTTTACATGAGTCATGATTCTCTAAATCCTGTTGTTGTTACGATTGTTTTCTATTTTTGTTCCTGTTCTCTTCAATTCAATCACCTCATTCTTCTGCTGGCAACTATTCCACTTCCGATAGCTGCTAAATACTACTTATATCTGCCAACAAAATTAGCATACGCCACAAGAGCACTCAGAAAAAAACTGCATAATGTCATCTCATTACTACAACTTAATATATTTATTTCTGTTCTCGGATGAAAATTTAGGTGATTTAATGTCTTCTATCAAGTTAATTTCTTTCATTTCATATATTTACTTTATTTTTGATTACATATTTTATAACGTGTTGTTTGGAACTTCGATTAAACCAATTGAGGAACTGGTTGCACTGTCAAACAGAGATATTGACATACATGGATACGTCTCCATTATTCTCTGAATATTTATTTAACAATTCAATAGAGTATATGAATGAAGTGAAACACTACAAAAAATGAGTAGAACACAATCCGACAAAGATTACGACATAAGAACATATTTCGATATTTAGTAGAGTCGTTGATGCTCTTTGCTAGGGTTCATACTCGGAGAAAATAACTGCCCAACGCTGTCTGATTTCTACTGGTTGTCTAACTAAAGTCAGTCTGTAATGTGAGGCCTACAATTTAACAATCTCCACATAGCTTTATAATAACAAAAATTTTAAATGTATTAACGAAAGTGGATGCCTTAAATTCGTAATTATTAATGTATGATACGATATAGATTTATGTATTCAATTATGCGGACACTAGTGATACTCTAAATCAACATGCATCAAAATAAATGAAATAGACAGGCGTGAAGTGTCGAACAGTCAGATGACTAAATAAAGTAACACTATTAGTATACATAAACTGAAGCAGAATAAGCGTAGGTAA